ATTCCCGGTGGGTCGATCGCCGAAGCGAGAGAGACCTTCTATTAGGCGCTGTTTTTAAAGTACAGCCCATGCGAAACTGCAAAAAGCAAGTACTCCAAAAGTGTTAAGCAGCGCTACCCGGTGCATCCGCCAGCCGCGCGTTAAAACAGAGCGGGATCATTCTCCCGCACAGCGCTGCGCTTCCGCCACGATTTATAAGAGAGAAACAGCACAAATCGCTCGATCCATTCAGAAATGACACAGAATTGTGTTATACAGTTGTGTGATATGACAACATTAAAGGTTCTGCCTGAAAACAGCCACGACCAGGTAAAATGCATGTAAACAAACTGCAATGTAAACAAACTTTAATAGCTTATTTATCTTTAAATGTTTCATTCTAATTAATTTTAATTTAAGTAAAATGTTAATTCAGTAAGAGCCTGATTAAAGATAAAAACCAGTGTCTCTGTAATTTAGAGACACTTATAAATGAGGTATTTTCCATTTACAAATATTATAAAGTTCTTAAAGGTATAGTTCAGCCAAAAATTAAAACTGTCTTCATTTAGGCTGCTCAGCATCATGTCATTCCAAACCTGTATGAATTTCTTTCTTCTGTGGAACATAAAAGAAGATATTTTGAGAAATTCAATAAATGTTTGTCCGTACAGTATAACAGTAGAACAAAATACACGTTTTACAGAAGAAAGTAAGAAAGTAAGTCATACAGGTTTGGAAAGACATGAGGGTGAGGAAAGAATGACAGCATTTATTAGCAGTAAATTTCCTATGTTCTAGCACAAAATCAATGCTTATACTGTCAAGTGCATTTCTATGTGACAAAAATGCAGTAGGCTATTAGTTTGTTGCATTTGCTGTGAATTCAGTAATATATCATTATTTGTTTTTGTCCTCATTTATTTATTTATTTATTTACTTACTCCAATTGAAGGCCCTATAACACAGCGAAACATTCATAGGGGACTTTGAGGGCCGGGTAGGCTGGATTTGTCCAGGGATGAATTTTAACCCCAGTCCAGCCCTGTACCCGTCACTACGCAACAAATAATGGCGTGGCGATTGGCTGGTGGGTGAAAAAGTTAATTTCAAACCCTGTGTGTATATATATATATGCTGTCATCTCCCTGCATTAAATAAACATTACATTTAAAAGGCAAAATACTATTATATTTTGTATTTTTACACTATGTAATATTCTGTTTCTCAAAACCAATAAATCTCATCAAGTTAGTGTTTTTACGTATTTTCATATTAAATTATGATCCATTCATTATTCAAATTAATAAAGTGATGAATGGAAATTGGGCAGTTCAATTAAGTATAGAATTTTTGTAATAGCTACAAAAATGAAAATGGGAAAATGTGCGATCACCGAGACTCAAATGTTTTTATTACAATTGTATAACTACGGTTTTACTACAAATATATATAATATGTTTAAACTATGGTGAGTGTAGCAAAATGTTTTAACTGTAATAACCTTTTTTTTGTTTCAAAGCCGTGTAATTTTCGTATGTTTTTTTTGCAAATAATTGTTACTGTTCTTTTATAATGAAAAACAGTAATAGTATATTTATAATATTTATAGAAACCATTTAATGTTAGAAAAGATCATTTATGCATGTACTGTAAATGCTCTTCAAGTTTGTGGCATTAATTGTAACAGTATATACACCAAATATTTTGACAATATTTTCTTCTTTCACACCAGGAAATTTTTTTTGAGAGACACCAGGACTGCAGCTGACTGGTGCAGTAACAGAAATTGAAATGGATTTTATCCATACACATATATATTATACATACATAGCACCAAATCACATACTGACTTATCTCGTGGCACTCTACATACATGTATGTAAGGGCACTTTACAACATTAACTGCAGAGACCCAACATTCCCTCATTAGCAAGCACTTGATGACAGCAGCAAGAAAAAAGTTTCCATCTCTCTATAGAGGGCTTGGTGAAAAAAACATGGCACATAGCATTGTATTGATGATGTTCTCTGTCTGCATGGTATAAAACAATTTTTCCATTCTTTGCATATTCCCCTAGACAGAAGACATAATACAGTGACTGGAACGAATCATATCTGTGCCTGGAACTGCAGCTGAGAAGCAGATGTTTCTAACAGAAGTGATTTTGCCTGAGGTGAGCTATAGAAATGTGTACTAAATTAACAATTAGAATAGGAATTTCATTTAAAGCAAAGAAATTGATAAGCAAGTGATGGCTTTGAGGCCTCTAAAACTACGGGTGTCAATTTAATTTGAGGAGCAACAATCAGAGATTATATACGAAGTACAATAAAATGGAAGCATGACTTCACACTTCATTAATTGTTGGCTTCCAAACTGCAGTACTTCATTATAAGTAGCAACTTAATTGAAAAGATTAAACTGAAACCTTAAATGTGGTTAAAGTTGTTTGTTTGTCACATTAAAATGAATACTGTACATTTCTTAGGTTCTGATTTATTGGTTGCAAACCAATGTCAATATGTGCCGATATATGGCCGAATCTGTGCTTCTGAAGTGCACGTTTCGAAGGAAAGAAAAGGTAGAGGATATTTTTTCATTGTGGGTGTTCATACTTACTCTTTGTATAACATCACTAAATACATTCTTCCTGTCATGACATTAGGGGATTTCCATGTCAAGCTGATGCCATTGTAATTAGGTACCGAATTTCTTTTTTTTTTTCTTTTTTTTTTCCCAGTGTTGCAGAGATCAGAACAGGTGAGGACACAGAAAGCACCGAACAGGTAAGACATTTTTAACAACAGCCCATTTTTAACAACAGCCTCCCACCCACCAAAAATTTACCTCACTTGATTTATTCAATGGCAACCTATATGGGTTAAAGGAATGGGTTATAGGAAGCCTATAACCCATTCACAAACATCAAAAATTTATTAATCTTAAATAATGATCCTTGAGACTTTGCTTTGTATGTTTTTGCTGATTATTCTACATGCATTTTACGTAATTTTCATGTGTCATCAAAAATAATAAACATGGAGAATAATATAAACATGGTACATGAATCAAATAAAATGTTTGTAATATAAACTATCTGGCAAATATCTGTGGGATTCCTGATAAATGATACATAACAGTTAAATGAATTAATTCTGAAGGAACTGGATTTCATTAAGATCCATTAAGGTCTTAAATGACACAAGAACTGATAGACAGCATTCATTATAACAAAAGATCATATATTTCTTAAAAATGTTGTAACCGCTTTATGTACTCTACACGTTTGAAGCATTAACATCAGTATACATTAAATAATTTGACCATATTTGTTATTTACTGCAGGAAATCTTTATTCTGAGAGACGCCAGGACTGCAGCTGACTGGTGTAGCAAGAGAAACTGGGATGGAAAAATACAATTTCCCATTGTCCTTTCAATGGAAAAAGAGCAACAATTTGCATCCCAATGCAAATTGCAGAGCTGGATGGGTGAATATGATGAAAGTTCTCCAGCCGAACTGTTCACTTTTGTATTTGGGAAACAAAAAGATTTATGAGGTGTTCTGCACAGAAATGGATCATAAAGCAAAGTACAAAATCTTCGCCAGATTTGAGGAAGAATGAGTCATCCTTCAGGATCATAAATAAAAAAATCAATAAAAACTTGTGTCTCAATTAAAATGGTCTCATGATTATTTTATATATATATATATATATATATATATATATATATACACACACACACACACACACACAAATACATATGGTCACACTTTAGTTTTGGGTCCAATTCTCACTATTAACTATTGAGTTTTGCCTAAATAAACTATTAATTACTGCTCAGGTAGGGTAAGATGTAGAATACGGTCACGCATAATAATGCACTAGTATGTGCATTATGAGTACTAATAAACGGCTAATATAGTAGTACTAGTTAATAACTAAAGTGTTACATTAAATAAATAAATGTTTGTGTGTGTGTGTGTGCGTATACAGTATTGGCTAGCGGCAGCTGGCACTCCATATGTGTGTGTATGTTCTTTATGTAAAAATGCTTATGCAATTTAGCTTATTGAGTTCACATTCTGATTGTATCTGCTTGCTGGTATATAATATGCATCATCAAATCTTTTATTTAAAAACAAAACAGTGTAGTTTACAGCAGAAACGGCGACAAACGATCGTGACTCCTGGCAAGAACTCTGGCAGCTGATAAAATTGTATAAAAATGCATAATAATAATATTAATAATAATACAAATGTGGGAACTTTGCACCATCATTTAAAAGAAACACCACCGCACGCCACTGAGAACAGTGTAGATTTTACCGAGCAAACAGCAGAAACAGCGAGAAAGACTGTGGCAGCTGCCACGTACTCTGGCAGCTGCCAGAAATGACTAGTGGCAGCTGCCTTTGACTCCTGGCAAGAACTATGGCAACTAATAGCCTACATAAAAATGTATAATAAAAATGATAATAATACAATTGTGGGAACTTTGCATCATCATTTAAAAATGTATTTACTTTTTTTTGGGGGGGGGGGTGTCAATTGTTAAAGATCATTTTCATATGTCATACTGTCATATCTCTGACTGTCACTGTTAAGTGTTACATTAGGTCAGATCTGTTACTGTCAATCATTTAAATCAAGTTCGGGTTGTTTTATTGTGTAAAAAAAATAAAAAAAAAACACCGCACGCCACTGAGAAAAGTGTAGTTTTACCTAGCAAACAGCAGAAACGGCGAGAAAGACGGTGGCAGCTGCCAGAAACGACTAGTGGCAGCTGCCGTGGCATCTGGGGATGTGCTGTGATTGCGATCAAAACTTGTAATTTGACAAAAACACAATGCGTGCTTTGCTGTAACTTACCTATGTTAATTGTTCTGTTAGGTTCCTAATTTATATATTTATTAATTTAAATCGTTGTTTATATACATCGCCTATAGGAAGCTGTTACTTTCATCTCCAGGAAATCGAAAGTTAAGACCGGCGCCGGATATCTGCTCATTCTGCTGCTGCAGTGAGAAGCGAGTGAGAAGCAGAGAGAGGCAGTGAGTGAGAGGCGCGATTTTGGTAACTACTCGTGCACATACTGCGACGCTGTATATAGGGCTTGTGATACGCTTATAATCTAACAATTTTGCATGATATATATGATTTACACTGGTATTTACACATTGTTTTACTGATCAAAGGTTGGTCCCTTTGGAAGATTCGTCTTTTATGGACGCAAAGGCGGTGACTGAACCCGTTCAGTGCTGGAAAGACGTGTCACGGTAAATTGTTTGTTTGTTTGTTTGTTTGTTTTTAATCCCAAAATATCCTAGAATAACCAAGCTTCATATTTGTCACTGAAGAACGGGGAACATTTTGTTATTAGGGAGGGAAGCATCGGTTATTGATGGGTGGAATCCGGGGATGAAGTAACGTTAGGCTAACACTTTTTTGTTTGAGCATCAGTGTTTGTTTGCGCTAGCTCTCTCAAATTTTGATAAACGGTAGCCGCATTTGTCTACTAACGTTACAAATAAAACTCACTTGGACGTGTAGGCCTACTACTAAAGTGAGGGGCGTCATGCACTCATGATTTGGGGGGGGGCACTGTATAACTGACATAATAGGCTTATTTTTTATTTATGTTTTTCCTTTTTATTCAAAGGTGAAGAGCTAGAAAAAAGTCTGCACACTCAAACATCAAAGCATAACAAGCGAGATGAGAACAATTTAAGCAATTTACTGAATGAAACAAGGCAAACGTTTCGGTCACATGTTGACCATTTTCAACGCCATTGAATTCGTTTGCCTTGAATTCCTTAATTCAAGAGATTTGTTCAAAAACTTTGGACGAAACAAGTCTTCATTCATTTATTTTTAAGCGATTTAATAAATATTTTTAAATGAACTCATTTATAACATTTTAGACATTTAGACTAATGTACAACATTAATTAAAACATTTTGTCAGAACCTCAAGTACATTAGCCTAATGTTTTGTTTTCAGAATCGTGGGGAAACCACCATGATCTTTAAAAATCAATTATCCGAAGTCATCGCTTAAAAAATAAGCTACATAATATATCTGGCATCTAACTTTAGCTCTGTTTCTAATATTAAAATGTAGACTAGGGTGTAAAATGTACAATCTTGAAGACTTTATGTACATTATTAAGGATTTGGTACAATTATAATGCATTATAATGCCGCTTCTCATCCAGTGTGCCAGTGTGCGAACCACACCCCAATCATCAATCACACATTTACCACATAAATCCTTTAATGCGGAACAAAAAACTTGCATGTCTTTACAGCAACAGAGGATGTAACTGGATAACTGGACTCATTGGAATCATCATAAGGGGTTTGTTGAAACATTTTTTAATTAACTGACACAACTGTCCCCACTCCAGTCAGTCATAGCATAGCTAAACCGTTTTAGCATGTTCGTTTGTAGTTAGCATGAATGTGTACCATCAAATTAAAATAGAGAAATGGCTATTTTAGGTTATATAAGTCAAAAAACTATCTACAATATAATGATTGATAGGGAAAAATTAACTTAATTAAAAAAAATCACTTTCTTTCCTGAAAATCAGCTTTTTGGTCATAAAATCTACAATGTTGCTCACTGTCACATGCCACTTCTCCTGTAAGCTCAAAAATATGATGAGATGATATTGATGACATCACCACAGCTCTTTTCTGACTTGTCAAACTGACCCTATGTTACCCTAACACTCCCTGGTCTACCCTACCAGTTGTAAAAAACGTAAACACATTTCTCCTTTTCTTGAAAAAGCAAAAGGTGGGTTACAGTGAAGCAATTTCAATGGATGTGAATTGGGCCAGTCGTTAATTTTAATTTTTGGGTGAACTAACCCTTTAATATTTGTGACTAACACCAGCAATTGCATATGTGGCTATGGAGTGATTTATTATGGTCAGTGATTTCTCTCATTTAAATACATTATCAAGAATTCTTTATTTCAATCTGCAGTCTAATAAAAGCTGAGAAAAAAATAGAATTAGCTTGTAGGCCTATAGACTATTCTATTTTTTCTTAACTTCTAACTTTTTCTTATAATTCATAATGAAGAATATTTAAATTAAAACGAATAGGCTATTCTTCATAACAAATTTTCTTAATTAACGAATATATGAAAAATACATAGCTGTTCTTCAAAATGATTTTTTTATTTTAAAATCATCTAAATATAAATCATTTTATATATAGTTTAATTATATGTAATCGTTTTTTGTCAAATGGATGAGGAAATTACAGTGCCTTGATTTCTCTACAGCTCTTCTGTCAGCTGTCAAAATGCAGTGTTGGGCAATTAAGTAAATGTAAAGTAAAATGAAAATTTTAAAACACAAATAGCATTTTTAAATGAGATTTGTTTCTGAATAAATTAAGCAGTAATGTAACTGGTAACTTGGGAACTGTAACAAAAAAAATAGCCTACCGTTTTTACTCAGAACCAATTCATTTATAATCCCTGATTTTAAACATACATGAGATAACAAACATGTTATTGGGTGACAAAGTTTAAAGACAGCGCTGGAAATGTTATAATAAAGGAAAGGAAAGGAAAGGAAAGGAAAGGAAGTGTGAATTTGTGCTCACCCATCCAAGTGCACACACACACATAGTTCACATAGTGAACAAACACACACCGTGGTGTGAACACACACCCGTAGCAGTTAAACATATCTGAAAAGACATAGTGAAAGGTGTCTACACATATATACATATATATCTGGGCATGTGTTCACAGTGTGTGTGTGTGTGTGTGTGTGTGTGTGTTTGTTCACTACTCACTTGCACCAAACCTCTAAATTTGGAATAGTAGTTCTGTATCGCTGTTTCTACAAAAATATGAATCCCGTTGCTTTGCAGATGTGATGCATTAGCACTAAACAGTTAAATAAATGCATTTCTTTAATGAGATGAATCCAATTTTACTGGACAAAATACAGATGTTGTATTGTCGAAGGCCATAACAATGTAATTTCTGTTTTTCAAGGTTAATGGTCAATGCTATGGGTGTCTGTGTTTGGACTGTGAATGATCACTAGAAGCCATTAAACAATGGGCAAGTATAAAGTTGTTTTTCAGTACAGTCATTGTTTTAAAGTTGTTTAAATAAACTTATCTCACTTTAAACTATTTTTGGTTTGCAGAAAAGCCAGAGGATCCTCCACTGGAGACATGGACTGAGTCTATGGTGAGCAACTGGTTAACATCAATAGGAGTTAAAGAAACATACATCAAAAAACTTCATGAAGAGGAAGTAGATGGCCGTATCCTTTGTGAACTCTCAGAAGAATATCTGGAAAAAAAGATTGGACTGAAATCTGGGCCTGCACTTTTGATAATCAAAAAAAGAGACGAGTTAATAAATTCACAAAAAGCCAGAAGCAAACATTTACACAAACAAACTTCTGGAAAAAATGACCATGAAGCAAGTGCAATTAAAAGGGTTGACTCAAGACCCGATATCAGGGAAGAGCATAAAGAAGATTCTGTGTCTGTGATAACAACAAAGAGAGATTCAAAACTACGACCTTTTGATATGAAAGGTGTTGATTTTACATATGTTAAAAACAGTGTACTCTTACCAGAATCAGGGGTTATTGATTTTATTAGTCCATGTCATGAGTATAAGTCATTTGCCATTGCTGCAACTCTGGACCGCCAAAGACTACAGGCCAAGTTCGCAAAGGAAGTGCTGAAATTTGCTACAGGTTGTATGAATGTTCGTACAAATGGCACAATACATTTTGGTGTCATGGACAGTAGAGGTGACACTGGTTATGTACATGGCGAAATCATTGGTATTCCTGTTAAGGAAAAAGAAGTATACTGTGATGCATTAGATTACATAGAGAGGAGTTTCTCTAGCTCTGAAGGCGAACTTGTACGATTTTGTATTGGTGAACTTCAGTTTGTTCAAGTAGTCTGTTCAAACAGCACAGAGGAACTCTACATTGTGGAGGTTGATATTAAGCCCACATTGAGCATAGTTAAGAATAAGGTGTTCTCTGTTAGCTTGCCAAATTTCAATGAGAAGGCAAACAAAGTTCAGCTTGAGAAGAACACAGCTTTTCGCAGAGTGGGCTCTAAAACCGAACCAGTGGCAGACCTCAGTGAGTTCTACCAACGCATCAGTTTTAGGGATGCTCGGAGAGAAGAAGCAGAGAAAAGGCATAATTTCATAGCACCAGAACTGTCCCAGAACCTGGGGAAAAAGCTCATCATGCTCATAACAGGTGGAAAGAAAATAATGGACAAGGAAAAATGGCACGTACTGGTTACCAACCGATTTCTGGAGAAGGATCTGCAAAGCATTGATTTTTTGCTCAATATGAACATCTTCTGCATGTTTGACTTTGATCCAGATTCCAACGTGTCGGGGCTATGCCATGAATACAGTAAGCACCATGCAGTGAACCGCCATTTCATGCAGAACTACAAAATTCCCAGTGGCTTAAGCATCCGAGAATTTGAGAGTCATCTGCGTTTGTTTGATCAAATCAGCTGGATATTTTGCAATGGCCGGAACGATTTCAAAGGCAACGAGCCTCCCTGTGATGAGAAGACCTGGGTTAAAACAAAAAGGACCCTCCTAAAAGATTGTGTGTCACTGATTTGCAAAGATATCTTACCCAAAGGAACCTTTCATGTGATTTTCCTCCTTACCTCACCTGTTGATACACCTTTCCTAAACACATTCTACGAGTTCATCACCGACATGGAAGGACATGAAGACATTATCTGCCTTGCAGAATCGGAGGAGAATTTCAAGAAATGGCAGCGCTTTGCTCTAGGATCCTGTGACATGGAAACAGTAAATAGTTCAAGTGTTGTTGGGATGACAATAAGTCAAATAAATGCAACCCTCCAACAGGTCCAGCCTACCACTACACGGGCAATGAAACGATTACCAATCCGTGTCAAAGGAGAGTGTTTTCTTGATACTCGAGAGGAGGAAATGAGATGTTCTTTAGAGATTCTGAGTCTAAACCACTGTGAAGAAACCAGTCCTGAATTCATTGAATCTGAAAAGGAGACAATTGAGCAGCAGTTTTACCATGGAGGAAAAGTAACTTGGATGAATCTCTGGCTTGCGGATAAAAACATTGTCGGGGAGGTTATTCAAAGAGATGCTTACAGTGAAGTCAACAGTCTGGTGAAGGACTGTCTTTGTTGGAGTTTGGATCGGGCACCCATCAGCTGCATCAACATATACCATCATCCGGGCAGCGGTGGTAGTACAGTGGCAAGGCAGATACTGTGGAATAACCGAAGAGATCTAAGGTGTGCAGTTGTAAAACCTTCATACTCAGCAATGGTTGTTTCAGAAGATGCCATCTGGCTTCGAGAATATGAAGAAAAAGATCCCCAAAAATGCCTCCCTGTACTTCTGCTGTTTGAAGACTGTGATCAAGAGTATTTAGAAGATGTCAAGCATGAATTGACAGTGGCTGTCAATACCAAGAAAATAGCACGTGGAACTCTCTGCTTCATCCTGCTGAGTTGTAGGAGATCTCACAATCCAGAGAAAATGTGCAAGGAATCTGTTCAACAGAATGTTTCTATTACTCATAAGCTTTCAGAGACAGAAAAAAAGCAGTTTTCCAAAAAACGACAAAGCCTTGAAGAACAGTTCAAGCCAGAATTCATTCTAACATTTGTCCTGATGAGTGAGGAATTTGAGAGCCACAAAATTGCTGAATATGTGAAGCAGTTTGTCAAGCATTTACTGCAAGGCATTGATTACAATTCTGTTGTTACTAAGCTTGTTCTGTATGTGGCATTGCTCAACACTTACGTGCAGAACTCATTCATCTCTCAGTCACATTGCGAAGCTCTCCTGGCTCTTTCCTGCCATTTGGATAGATTTAGACAACATGCCTTTGAGACTTCTTTAAGTGAGCAAGCTAGATTGGTCTTAATACATTTGAGAGATGAAAACACCTACATTACCTTGATCAGAATCATTCATCCATTGGTTGCCAAGGAAATCCTCCACCAACTTTTGGGTGACAAGGAACCACAAAGTTGTCTCGCTTTGGATCTTCTCAACAATGATGTGCTGTTTGAGCACAGGTTTGCTAAAGATCAGTACATGAAGTTCTTGCGAGATCTCTTCATGACACGCCGCAGGATCAGCAAAGGTGATGAATTGGACAGCTTTTTCTCCCCCCTAATTGAGCATGTAAGAGAGAAAGAGTGTCCAGATAAAGCTATTGAGCTTCTCAAGGCGGCTTACAAGCGTTTTCATGAGGATGCATTTTTTGCTCAACAACTGGCTCGACTCAATTACAAACATGACAGATTTGAAGAAGCAGAACAGTGGGCAAAAACTGCAGTAGCAAAAAGACCGAACAATTCCTACTTTCTTGATACCAAAGGTCAGGTGTACAGGCAGTGGTTCATAGCAAAATTTAAAGCCATGAAGCAAACTGAAAAAACACCTGAAAGTATAGTAGGCACTGTGGAAACGGCACTAAAGGCTATTGAATGTTTTCAGGAATGTGAGAAGGCAGCAGTTGAAGACAATGACACCATTAACAATGCTGGCTTTTTTGGAGTAGTAGAAGTAGGATCCGAATTGCTGAAGCTAATTTCCTCTCTTGATGTGTTCTCAAGAAGAAATCATTCCCAATGCATTAAATACCTCCTCTCAGGTTATGTGCCTGCTGAGGTAGAAATACCATGGGAAAATTTTCATGGGAAGCTGAAAAATCTACAAAAAATAATGCTGGAGGCTCTGGAATGGATTTCAGAAGACTTGAGTTACTTCCAGACTGACCTGAACACAGATGAGGAGAAGACATCTGAGACTGTTGAGAGGACCACAAAGCACCCCATGCACTGGCTGGTGAACAAGTCTTCAACTTATGGTAAATACTTTAGTGGTGTTTCTCAAAGTAAAGATCAAAACCAAGGGAAGTTAACGCCTGTCATGAAACGCATGATGATTTATCATCACGGTGGGGGAAACATCACAACCATTTTTTCCCTCCTAACAAACCAGAAAGTTTGTTGTGGTCCTAACAAACCAGAAAGTCCTGTCATGGTTCTGGAGCAAATTATTTCACTTTACCCAAGCAATCCAATGGGGGCGCAAATGCCACAAGCGGACCTTGTCCACTACATAGCATCACACTTTGCTTTAAGTTGCCTCTCAACTCAGTCACCCAAGCTAGCTGCATTTAAGGATCTACAAAGTCTGAGTGAACAGTTTCCTAAAGAGAAACAGAGATGCTTACCAAGTGCTCTTTTCTTGCTCGTCTTACTTTTCTGGCCAGAAGAGCAGGACACAGAAGTGGATAAAGAACGCAAGTATAAGACTGTGCTCTCTGCTGTTGAACACCTCCAGAGACTCTATGACAAAAAATTGAAAGACATCCCGCCAAGGAAAAAGAGGATCTACACTCATTTCTTCCTGAGCAATGGGACTGGGTTTGAAAAATTTGTCCACAAGAGTAAGTTTGAAACAATCACAAACATGTTCTCCGTTTCAGAAAAACGTCTGAAATGGTTTAGTGGACAAGTATGGAAAATGCCAAAAATGTCTAAATTGCTGAAATGTGTCACAGGCTGGACGGAGGATGAGAAGGTATTTCTGGAGGGTCCCAAAGGAATGAAATTTCATATCCCAGCTCTGAAGACATCCTCAGTACCCCACAATAATGAGAATGTCACTTTTTACCTAGGCTTCACTCTGAAAGGACCTGTTGCATACAACATTACAGTACAAACATAGACAAATGTAGGTTTAGGGTAGATTAGGCAGAGAATACGTCTTAAATGCAAATGAATTCTCATCCAAAAAGAAAGGCATTTAGGGCTGAGAAAATACTTAATTTAGCGTGGTTGGTAACATATATTTTGTATGTAATTTACTGAAATTTTACACCTCTCAGCTGTCAGTAAAACTTTAAATGTGAGAAATTGTTGAGATATTGGGAGATATGTGTAATTCTTTTTTTTTTCTGGATTTGACCAAAAACTGATTCTGGGGAACCTAATAAGGATGGAGGGCTCTGTGGAGACATACATTTCCTCATTTTCAATGATTTTATATTTTAACAATCTTGTTATTTTAGTTTATAGATTATTGCATGAATGATAATGCTTTGTATAAAAAAATAAAGGCATTTATATTTTAATATTCTGGAAGTGCTTATTTGCATGCCTTACTGGAAGGATTGGCAGTGTTTTTCTTAAAAATATCTCTTCACATCCTGATAGCAATAATTTAAGTTTTCAAAATTATTTTAAAAATAAAAATTAAACATCCTCTGTGGAAGACTCAGGACAATAAAATGTTCATCCAGTCATTGCAGTCTGAATGCAATGGTAGTGTGTGGCCTACCTGCCCATCTTATGTATTTGCATACCTTCGTGCACATTGTTTGTGCCGACATCACACGTCATCGCCAGTTTCCATAAGGCTATGCAGAGTTGTAGACACTTTGCTAAACTCATTGAGCAGGAATGACAAGTTAAAGGTGCACTATGCAAAAAATGTTCAGTTACTGTTTGTAAACAAGATTTTAACTTGGCCCCTTCTTGTGGGTGGGTTTAAAACTGACAGAAGCCACGCTCCTTGTCAATGACATCATAACAGTAACCACATTCACAAAACATGTACAATATTGGAGAATATATCCATATAGTTGTTTAAACTATTTGCAATGGATGCAATAGTTCAGTTAAATTATCAACAGTTACAAGTGGTAGATTTGAGATTAATCGAGGTATAAGCAGGGTAGTCCTTTGTCTTTATTTTTGTTTCTATTAGTTACATAAATTATAGCCCAACTCCATATATATATATATATATATATATATATATATACACTGCCCGTCCAAAAAAACAACACATCCTGTGGTTGTGGAAAAGATGTTAATCAGAAGGAAGTTAATCAGTTTCAGAAGGATCAAATTATTGGCTACAAATGACATCAGTGGTGCAAGATGACAGTGACAATACTTAGATGTTTTGGCTGGTGTTGTAGTACTTAAAACCAGTCTTGGTCTTGAGACCAGTCTTAAGACCATTTTTTGAAGGCCTTGGTCTTCTTTCTGTTTCTGTCTCAACCACATTTGTACTTGATAACTCTCAGACTAAGAGGACTCTGGATGTTTTTTCTAGACTGGTCAATTTATGATCATACGGACAATGGTCTTATTGTTAAAGGGGTCATATGATGCTGCTAAAAAGAACATTATTTGGTGTAATGAAATGTGTTTATGCGGTTTAAGGTTCAAAAAACACATTATTTTCCACATACTGTACAATATTGTTTCTCCTCTATGCCCCGCCTTTCTGAAACGCGTCGATTTTTACAAAGCTCATCGTTCTAAGGCTGACTCTTAACTTTTACAAAGAATATCTCATTGGATTTGAGACTTTAGTCTTTGCGACTTTACAGATCTTCTTTATGCACCAAGAGCTTGTAACACTCAAAAGAGAAAGGAAAAATTTAAATCACATCATATGACCCCTTTAAAGTATTTTATTGACTCAATAATTTTCATTTTCATGCAGTAAATGTGGTGTTGGTCTTGACTCTGTCTCGTCATGCCTTGTTCTTAGTCTCAACTGGGTCTCGGTTTAGGTGGTCTTGACTACAACTATAGTTTTGGCCTCACTTTTCTATAGTGGAAGGAAGTGGAGAAGCATCATCCATCTTTTTTTACAGTCTACGGTTTGAAACAAATGATTCGTAAAGGTTTCGAAGCTTCATGAAGCAGTGTTTCGAAAGCGGCCGTCTCTATGATGAGGTATTTTGAATTTTTTTTATTGTTTATCATTTATAAATCACATTTTTGTGTATATGAAATTTAATCTTTGGCTACACTGATAGTTAGATGACTGGCTGTAATTTATGAGCGAGTTTAGCCATCTTCAGTATTCATAACAACCCTTAACGCACACTAAATCCACACTGCTTCGTAGCGGTATTTGAAGTCCAAGTCCCATCATGCATCATGTTCTGGAAATAAAAAAAGATGAGTATGTTTACGTTGGTACAACATTTGCAACTGCTTTTTATCACCACAATTACTCAACTGCATCACCTTTAATGCAGACTACGGAACAGACATTTTAAAAAATTGTTTTAATAAAGTACTGAATTAAATACTGAAAATCAAAATAAAGCTTTGGAAACAACAATCAGTGTAACCCACTGACCAAAGACCGCAGCCCAGAAACATCCTGCACACAGTAAAAACAAGAAGAAAATTGGTAATACATTCACAAGGCTCTGCAACTCTGATGATGATTGAAAGAGGTTACTTTTTTTTTAAGTCTATAATTTTTTTTTTTTTTTTTTATCTGCAAAGTGAATTAAACGTTAAAGGGATAGTTTGCCCAAAAATGTAAATTCTGTTGTAATTTTTCTGTTGTAAAATCATACAGACATTTTTAAACAGAGCCAACTCTATTGGCAGCACTTGCTTTAAGCACCTTTTTCTCAGAGAAAGGAGTGGACTGGATTAGATGATGATGTGAAGCCACTGGCAAACTACCAGGAACAATGTTAATTTCAATTTAAGAGTCCCACTTGATCTGAAAACAACAGCTTGTGTGCGTGTGTGTGTGTGTGTGTGTGTGTGTAATTGCACAAACAGTGCAGAGGATTTGAGATTCTTTAAGAACACAAAAGGGAGTTATACCAACTACACCTTTGATAAAATATTTGTTTTGCGTACCCAATTGAACCAATGTGTTTTACAATGAGTAAGCTCATTTAAAATGTCATTTTTGACAAACACTGATTGTATTTCTTTTTTGTCCCGTTTAAGTGGCGTGGCACTTTAAAATAAATAAAAACTCTATGAAATGGGACGTAAATAACCTGAAAGGAAATATGAACAGAACACACAAAATATGACACTGAATAGTGTCAACTTGTGAAACAACATTTATTTTTCAGTAATATAATAATAATAATAATAATAATAAATGAATTCATACAAATTAAAAAGGATGCCCATTTCCACCTAATGTAAAATGTTCAACATTTATTTATACATTATATTTTATAATTAAATTCTTAATTTAAAAAGATTGGTTTCCCTATATCAAATAAAATAATGCTATGCTGAGATGTTACTTAAAAGCATCCATATACTGTAACTAGTATAAAGGAGGAGTTATGTAACAACAATATATGATATTGGACAAAGATCTGTGGGAAAACGCGTACTGGTACTGGTGTGGCGCACACTTTTATACTGAATGCATTATAATGTAGGTTATATGTATATTCTTAATTAAAATTATTTGTTTCCCTGCTAATTATTTGTTTCCCTATAATAAACATTAAGGCTTTTGTAACGTTGATATTTTACTTAGAAGAATCCATATAACATAAAAGAGGAATTATCTAAAAAACTAAAATATATCATTTAAAAAAATAATAATTAAAAATTGCATTCCAGACGGCTCCTTTAAATAAGCGGTGTCGTAGATCCTTCATGAATGAAGCCACGTGATCAAACATCATATGACGTCTGATGATTTCAGTACAAGAGAAAGCGAATCCGAGCAACAATAACACATTTACACATTTCTCTCAAGCACGCTTTGGATCCTCTACACACAAATACTCGCTCAAACAGAAAGGCCTCTGTTATAACAGGTGAGTCGACTCGATTATTGTTACATCAATTGTGTGACAGTGTTGTTGTGCTGAGTGTGCATGCACGCCTCCACTCACTCTCTTCACATATATATATATATATATATATATATATATATATATATATGTGTGTGTGTGTGTGTATAGTCTATCATATACCTGAAGCAGCTGTATAAACGCACGTGCATTTATTATTCAAAATGCAAACGAGCTGCTGTATCATAAACACATTTAATAAGCGTGGCCGGAGTCAGAGACGCACAGCCTATGGGGATTCCCTCTGTGAATTAGAGGCATTATAGTGACAGCTAGGGGGATGTGCAGAAATGTGCGCGCGCACACACACACGCACACACACATCAGCACAAAGCTGCTGTTTCATCATAAGGGCGCTGTGCGCTTCAGCACCAGGTAGGGCGCGTGTGTTTGTCAATATCAAATGATGCTGTATTCATATATTCATGTCTAAATGGGCGAATGGAATCTTTTATTATCCAGTCTTTCCTTCACATATCTATGACAGGTAAAAATCGGAGTGAAAGAAGGTTTCATTTGTTCGAACGCTATTCATATGTCTTTCCTGCATGCATGAAAAAAAATTATCGCTTTGTTTGTTTTAATCGGATCGTGGATGCTGATTCATCATAATGCTGCTCGGTTCATGCATGCCTCTAGCTCAGGAATCAGTTCCCGGATCTATGTACCGGTATTTGTCCGTGTGATGACTATCTGTTATATTAGTATGACATTCAGAAGCAGATGACTTTTAGTGTGATCTCATTTGCGAGATGTTTAGTAATAAACGTGTGTATTAATCAACGCTGTTTGTTAATGTGCATTGACCTGTTAGAATGCTTGAGTATTTGTCAGTTTTAATTCTGCCAAATGTAAATTCCTGACAAACTTTGATCACTGTCTTAAGATTGATCTAAGGCTCCTTTTCTGAATGTGCTTGCTCTTATGTTACAATACGCATAAAACAGGAGCAGCAGGAGCAGGTTTTTGTTGACCACAATTCTAAGCATCAAGAGCACTCCTGAGTCCTGACTGCCATGAGCATATGTGATCCATATTGAGCTGAAGGTTAGAGTGACACTGTAAAAGCTTTTTTGAATATAGTGCATTACCCATGACTTTATGCCCTGTCTGTACTTTAGGAAAGAAGCATGTAACATTTTACTTCTGATTTATTTTTACAGTATTGCAGTTAAATGTTTGGACACAGCTTTGATATGGCATTGCACTCACTGTATGGTATTGCTATGTCCTGGTTACAAAACAAAAGCTGTTGCAAATTTCCAGCATTATTGCCCTGAAAAACAAAGACAGCGTTCATTAAACACACATTGATAACATGCCCAGTTGTGTAATTAAGTTTAATACATTTTAA